CCCGGCCTCTTTGGGGAGGGGGTGGGGGCTGGAGAGGCCAGCCTGGCTGAGGAGGGCACGTACCTGTGGAGGCATTGACCAGCTGCAGGACCAGCGGGCGTCTGGTGACAATGCCAGATCCCCGGGGCAGGAAGTCTCTGCAGTGAATTAGAGGTAAGAGGAGGGTCACCTGTCCTGCCCCCGGAGCTCCAGACATTCCCTAGCGCTCCCTACCGCACCTTAGCCCACGGGCCGCAGGTCGCTAAGGGCAGATGGCAGCTGAGAAACGTGGAACCGTGTTATAGTAATCATTATGGTACTTACTATTAGGACCTTAGAATGTAAGGCTTAAAGCATGTAATCCTGTGTGGACTGTTATAGTAATTATTATAGTGCCTAATGTTAGATATAGGAATACTGTGTGAGACCCAAGAATGCACCCTGGTAACCCCACTAGTCCTGGTAAACAACCTATCTGATGGGAACGCCCAAAGCCTGTACACACCCATAGATTAACAGACCCCAGGTGGATCCACACAAGGCGATTAACAGACCAGGTGGATACACACATGGCAGCCGCTGATAACACACACACCAGCGAAGACCATGCCTACAGAGGGGTATATCACCAGACAGTCTGATGGGCCCAGCACATAGCTCTCCTGTCGCCAGAGCGTGAGGACCTGTGAGTGCTCACGTCTCGGTTCCCAGCACGAAACTCTGCCCAATTAACTGTCGATCAACGAAGGAGCCAGCAGCCAACGGTGCCATCTACCCCTGTGTGTGTGTCAGCGAGCATCACCGGATGGATCCTTCCCAGTGTCTGAGACCCATCAGGAACTGGTAAATAACCCCCCTGTGTGCTTGCATCTAACCTGTCTGTGTGTAATTTCTCCGGCTCGGCTCAGATCTCGGTGCTGTCTCTGTGAAAATGTCTGACCAGAAAGTGTTGGCGCAAGCCTCAAGCAGATGGCATCTGAGACCCAGAAGGAACTGGTAAATAAACCCCCTGTGTGCTTGCATCTAACCTGTTCGTCTGTGTGTGATTTCTCCGGCTCGGTGCTGTCTCTGTGAAAGTGTCTGACCAGAAGGTACTGGCGCAAGCCTCAAGCGGATGGTCCAGACCACCTGTGCATGTCCCGCTTAGGAGCAGCACCTATATGGGAACCCCCCGCACCTCGACATAGGTGACGGGCCTTAAATATATAAGAAATAGAAGCTATTTGGGACAAACAGCTCCCCAAGTTCCCGGGCCACAGAATTTATGCATCTGAGCTGCCAGGAGACAAGACCAACAAGTCCCCAGGCCTGTCTCAGGTCAGCCCAACCCAGCTACTGCCATTCAAGCCAGAAGAAACGGAGGCACAGGATGTCCCGCGTGCAAAGTGCCCAGTGGCCACAGAGTGGATCCCAAGGAAACGGAGCCACACCTTCTCCCTTCCCTTCCGCCGCGGGGATGGGCAGCGTCTCACTTCCCCTTCCCGGGCCCCATCTGGCTGGGCTGAGGGCGAGGGGGATGGGAGGAAGTAGGAGGCAAGGAGGACTCATGCTTCTTAATGCCTACTGCATGCCAGGCTTTTGGTGGGCAATCTCTCATGGGCTCCACACAATAGCCCTGTGAGTTAGGTGTTATTATTCCCGTTTACAGATGAGGAAACTGAGGCTCAGAGATGTTCAGGTCGCACAGCCCGTATCTAACAGAGCAGACCCTGGACCCAGGTCTGTTTGACCCTGCAGTGGAAGCTCCCTGCCCTTCAGTCCCAGGCAGACCCAACTCCCGAGAAGAACTGGACTGAGGGGACCCCAAATCACCACCTGCCCCCAGACCGGATGTCTGTACCACAGGCATGTACCTGTGCGCATGTCAATCTCCGCAGTCCTTTCGGCCTATTCTCATGGGTGCAAATTCACTCTGTCCGGTCAGCTCTTCTCATCCCTGCCCTCTCCACTCCATGGCCCCACCCAGGCTGGCAGGAGCATGAGGGTGGAGGCCTCTCAGGGATCAGGCTGTTGGAACCCATAGTCATGGCACCCCCCAGGGCCTCAAAAAGGGGGTAACAGCCTGGAGCCTGAGGGACTATGTTCAGCCCCCACATTCATGGAGAGGCACATAGAGGACCAGGAAGGGGAAAAGACACACTCAAGGTCATACAGGGCTGGGGCAGAGCCAGAGAAAGAACCCCAGTATCCTGCCCCCCCAACCCAGAGCCTGACCTAGATTCACCCAGCTTCCTGCACCCCAGGGTTGGGGCAGAGAGTTCTGGGGAAAACAGAGTAGGCCCAGGCTCCTGGGTTCAAGGCCTCTTCTTGGAGCCCTGGGGAGGGCCTGTCCTCACCCTGCCCCTCCTCTGGGGAGATTAAAAGCTACTGGGGAGGAATCAGCCACTTTAATGAGGAAGAAGAAGGATGAGAAATCCTGCACTTATTCATCATTTCTAGGTGCCAGGCGAGTACTTTTCACTTTTGCAAACCTGAGCTTCAGAGGACAGGGCTTGCATGCTTCTGTGCACACTGTACCCCAGTGCCCAGCACAAGGCTTAGCACACAGGAGGCCTTCATATTGACTGAAACTGCAAGTCCCCAAAACAGTCCTCTGATATGGAAATTATCATTTAAAAATATAATTTTTTTATTGATTTCAGAGAGAAAGGGAGAGGGAGAGATAGAAACATCAATGATAAAAGAATCATCAATCGGTTGCCTCCTGCACGCCCCCTACTGGGGATCGAGCCTGCATCCCAGGCATGTGCCCTGACGGGTAACCTAACGGTGACTTCCAGGTTCATAGGTCAACGCTCAACCACGGAGCCACACTGGCTGGGCAGGAAATTATCATTTTGCAGATGAAACAACTGAGGCTCAGAGATGTGGAGTGACTCGTCCACGGTTCCCCAGGTAGGGATGGCGGAGCTAGGATTCAAACCCAAGTGCCTGTTGGACCCCAGAGCCTGGGAGCTTCCCTGTCAAACCCTGTTGCTCACTGAACTGGAGGAGCCAGGCTTGGCTTTTTATGTAATTCAATTCGGTTCCATCTCGGACATATTTGAGAGCAGCTGCTCTGTGCCAGGCCCTGTGCTGGGCCCTGGGGAGGGGAGATGATGAGTCAGACAGTTCCTCCTCCAAGGAGCGCGCACTGTGGTGGGAGAGACAGGCGAGTAAACAGATAATGCAATGCAGTGTGATATGTGCTGGAGCGAAGGTGCGCCAGGCAGCACAGAGAAGGGGTGATTAACTGGGGTGTAGTGGTGGTGGGGGGCCGGGGGCTTCGTGTCTCTATCTTTCCCTCCCCTTACTGACTCCTGTGGGAGGGTGACCCCCTAGTATTGGGGATCTCCCAGGGTCGTGAAGATAGGACATCTATTTTTACAGAGCTTAGGGTAGGTAGGCGGGCCTGGGGTCCACCATCTTCTGCACCAGCTCTGCACCCAGCAATACCATGGCAACAGTAGTTGCCATGGAAACTTCAGGAGGGGCTGGAAAGGATGGGACTCCCCACAGAGAACCCCCCACCCAGAGACATGGAATTTCCCTGGAGCTCTTCCCCGAGAGGCCTCACCCCACACAGATGGGCCCAGACAGCCCTGGCAGGCCTGAGGGGTAGGGGGCCTGAGAAGAGCCACGGAGAGGGTGCAGGGAGCCCCGGGCTAGGCTGAAGGGGGTGGTCAGGGGTCTGGGCCAGGCTGCCCAAGTCACTGGCTCCCCAGGGCTGCTTAGAGGACAAGCAGCTTATAGGAGAGATTAGAGGGCAGGGCTGCGTGTGGGAGCTGAGCCCCTCTGACCGGCATCTCCAGGGCCGGGTGGGGATGGGGTGCCTGGGTGCGGAGGGACCCCAGCTCTGCCATGGCCCAGGCTCTCGAAGCGAGGCCCTCTCCCGGCCTGTCTCAGGATTCCCTGGCAGCTTGTTAAAATGCACATTTCTCAGACATGCTGGGTTAGCATCTCCTGGGGCGGGGTGCAGGGGAGGGGAGGGGAGGAGAGAATCTGGATTTTAAACACGGTCCCCCCCACAATAAACACGATCTCCACGTGATTTTCATGCCCCCTTCCAAGGTTAGGGATCGCTGGCCTAGTGGTTAGGGCCAGTGCCAGGCAGAGGCTCTGGGTTTAAATTCCGCTTGGCCATTCCCGAGCCTGGTGAGCCTGGGCAAGTTGCTTCACTCTCTGGATCTCAAGTCCTCAGCTGTGAACCAGTATTATCTAAACCGGGTGTCGTGCACTGCCCCCCGTGGCTGCGGGGGTAAGATGAGTGGCTAAGAGGGGACCCCAGAGGCCTGTTTCTCAGCCACACCTCGACGGGCAGTGGAGAGCACCTGCTGGCTCCCATGTCTAGACTGAGTGCCTTGCTCCCTGCCGGATTCCCTCGCTAGGCCCAGGCTCAGCACATAGTAGGTGCTCTGGCAACACGCGAAGGAGGCAGCACAGCTGAGGCCTAGCAGCTCCTCAGCTCCAGACTTTCACCTGGACACACTGCCCCTGAGCTCTCTGTTTAAGAGTCCTCTATCACACCGGCCGGTATGGCTCAGTGGTTGAGCATCGACCTGTGAACCAGGAGGTCACAAGTTCGATTCCTGGTCAGGGCACATGCCCAGGTTGCAGGCTCAATTCCTGGAGTGCGGGGGAGGGTGTGCAGAGGCAAGCGATCAATGATTCTCTCTCATCATTGATGTTTCTATCTTTCTCTAAGATCAATAAAAATATATATCGCCTCCTGCCTGGGGACTCGGGCCTGATCCAGCCTCCAGCCAGTGCCGCCCCTGCACCTCCCACCCGACTCCTGGTTCGCCGGAGGGAGGACAGAACAGGTGCCCAGAGAAAAGTGTGTTGGGCCCACCAGCCTCGTGGCCGTGTGGGCGGGACGGAGGGTGGCATGCCAGCTCTCCCTGCTCGTTCTGGGCAGATGGTGGTTTCCCAGGGAGGCCTCGCCTTGCCATCTGCAGCGGCGCCTTCAAACCTGACGCACCGGGAGGGAGGATGAAATAAACCCTTCCGGGACCCCCAGACGCCACATGCTCCCTCTCCATCGGCACCGCCACCCCAGAGGGGTCTGGAGAAAGCATGCGAAAGGTACCCCTACTCCGGTGCCTGAGATCTGGGCCCGGAGCTCAGGGACCCTGGTTCCCAGATCCCGCTGAATGCAAACCGTGCCCGAGAGCCCCATGCCTGGCCTGGCGTGGACCCAGTGGCGGTCATCCTGGAAGTCTCCCGTTTCCCGGGCTCTGATGTCAGACAGGCCTGGCATTGAATGTCAGAGCTGCCGCTGAGGAGCTGTGTGGCTTAAATGACCATACCGCTCTGAGCCTCGGTTTCCACATCAGTAAAATGGGTTGCTGTGAGGCTTATGTAAGATAATGCCTGATAAAAGGTAGCTGTTAGGACTATAAAGTATGATAACTCGCTGAGAACACAGGCTGGGCTCCCACAACCAGGTCACCAAATGGAGCGGTGGAGGGAGCTGGCAGGCGGGGCTCCTGGGGGCTGGCTGGAAGAGTGGGCCAGGGTATTTCCAGCCAAATTGGCCCCAGGGAGTGGGAGACAAGGGGCCCACAGGCTCTGAGGTGCCCTCTAAAGCAGGGAGCTAGGGAGGAGGCCAGGGAGGAGGTGGGCCAAGAAATACAGTTGGGAGGAGTGAGGCTGCCTCGGGGGCAACAAGTCCCTCTCTGTTCCTGCTGCCCCGGGGCCGGGCGCGCCCACACCACACAGCCCTGGGCTTCTAGTGGAGGTTTGAGTGTTTCAGGGCAGTCCTGGCTCTGGCGTTCCCTGATGTTCTGCTG